TGAACCCAGGTTCTATACGATAACAAATGTTCTTAACCTCTGAGCAATCTCTTCAGTCCAAAGTTCTTTCTTTTCTAATACCAGGGCTCATTTCTATAAATTTCCCTCAAAATTCTGCTTTCATAGGTGGGGTAGGTAGAGAGGAGGAAGGGGAAATTGTGGTCGGGATATAAAATAAATAAATTTTTAAAAATACAAATTAAAAAAAGAGGCATATCACAAATTCTGATAAGTTGTCATTTGGTACAAGATGAATTATAGTTGCTCTTTTGAGTTCCCAAGCCAGAGGCTATCTAGAAGCAAGTTAGTTTCAAATAGTTGGAAACTGTCTCCTAAGGATGATTTTCTTAATGATTTCGAATTCAATCCTACAACCCTGGCAGCCTGTTCAACACATAGTCTGGGGACCACATACAGCTCAAACCTACTTAAAACACTGTAAGATTTCTCTGTGTGTAATATTTGCATGGGGGCGGGGGCCTCAATCAACTCCATTTTGTGGTTCCTCAGCATGAACTTTGTAGACAACAATGTCTGAAAACATTTTTAGTATCACTGGAGTCAATCTAAACTAACTGACATTTGTTTTATGTATTACAGTAGATAATTATTTAATTCAGTACATGTTCAAAAGTGCTTGGGAAGAATGACGTCTTCTGTGGTTGGGTGAAGTGATATGTAAAAATTAACCAGGCCCTGTTGGTGGGCATGTTGTTCAAGTCTGTTATAGCTAAGCGGAGTGCCGCCCTCCAACCATCAATTGGTGAAAGAGAAATTTCTCACTTTAACTGTGGGTTTGTCTCCTTCACTCTATTGCTTTATCATTCTCTAATGTTTTATCATTTATCATTTTGTTTTGTGTATTTTGAAGATCTAGTGTTAGGTACATAAGTACTCAGCTTTCTTGATTAAAATGATCCCTTCATCACTATGAAAGAAACTTTGTTCTCTGTATTATTTTTTGCTCTGAAGTGTACATTGTCTGAGATTGATATAAACACTCTAAATTTTTGTTTTATACTATTGGACTTCTATAATCTTCTATTCAATAACTTCAAGCCATTTGTATTTATATTTAAAGTTTATTCACTAAAGTCGATATTCAGTTGACTCTTTCATTTTTTTAACTTGGTCATAATTCAGCCTTAATTGAGGAGCTTAGGTCATTTACATTTAATTGTTGTTGGTGATGTTTGAATATATTACCCTGCTCCGTACGCCCAGTCTGTTCCTGCTACTCCTGTTCCCCTTTTCATTGCTGCTCTTCCTGTTTCCTGACTGGGTGATCTGCCTGATACTTTCTATGAAAACTGTTTTGTCTGTGTTGTGCTTTTCACTTTTATTTTCTAATGTTTTCATGGGAGTAACTGTTTTTCATTTGTTTTAAGAGGTTAAATCAATTCTGATTATTATACTTGGAGGAGAATCAGAAAACCTTAATCATTCATGTTCTTTCTATCCTTCCTTGAGCCCATTCAGGCTTTTCTTTATTCTCAGAATCATGAAATCTATAAAAATGCTCACGAGACCTGTTCTTATTGAAACAAAGGTCATAACACTTTCTCCTTTTCTTTCTGTCCTGGAAAAAAAAATTTCATATGTAGTTTTTAAAATCAGCCCTTGGGAGGCAGAAGCAGGCTGATCTGTGAGTTCAGGGCCAGACTGGTCTACAAGAACTAGTTCCAGAACAGGCTCCAAAGCTACAAAGAAATCCAGTCTTGAAACCACCACCCCCTCCCCCCCAAAATAAGGAAAAAGAAAGAAAGAACCAAGTAGTAATGGCTAGAGTCTGTATGAATCATCACCCTTCTTACACACTGCTACACACTGCTTCCTCACTCCCTGGGTGGCCTCCATCCTCATCATCAATTAAGACCATGCTATTGGTGTCATTGTTCATCATATTGCTACCAGAACCAAGGGCCCTTTTCTCAGACTTTGAACTTGACTTATGATTTTTTTCATTTCTTGGTTGTAAACTGACTTGTATGATAGTATATAGGCATGCTTGCATTAAGATTCTTTAACAAGGGGGCTGGAGAAGATGGCTCAGAGGTTAAGAGCAGCGGTTTCTCTTCCAGAGGTCCTGAGTTCAATTTCCAGCACTCACACGGTGGCTCACAACTATCTGTAATGGGATCTGATGCCCTCTTCTGGCATCAAGTTGTACATGCAGGTAGACACATATTCATAAAATAAATAAATAAGCCTTAAAAGGGGGGAATGGTAACACATGCCTTTAATCCCAGCACTCAGGGAGGCAAAGACAGGTGAATCTCTGTGAGTTCGAGGCCAGTCTGGTTTTCTGACTCAGTTCCAGGACAGGCTCCAAAGCTACACAGAGAAACACTGCCTTGAAAACCCAAAAAGATTCTTTAACAACAATACACTCGGAGGAATATATGTTTTCAAGGGTGGGGATGTTCGTCTGAGTTGTTATCTGATGCAGTGTGACTGCCTAACTTGGTAGAGGACACACACACACAAAAACAATACTATGTAATGGATGAAGGGAATGGAGCTAGTGCTTAGCGCCCCTTCCTTCTAATCATTATTTCTAGACGTCTCACTCAAAGCTACGTTTCAGGGGTCTCCCAGAGCTGTGCCTGACACTCTCGGTTCCTTCTAGCCTGTTATTCCAGCATTTCAAACATTATTAGATGTCCCACTAACAACAAAACATTGGAACATCCCAAGCCAATCTTTTCAGTTTTCTCTTACTCTAAAGCTGCCTGTCATGGTTTTTCTACTTCTTTCTACAGTTTTCCCCAAGCACCAAGGTAGAACTTTGAGTCATTACTGAATTTTCTTTTCCCATCACACAATATGACTGCCACTTTTACAGTATTGATTACATGTGCTCCTAACTCACCATCCTCACACTGGCATCTGTTGGCTCACCTCTCTATAGTGCAGGTGTCCCCAACAGCTTTCTGATTCTCTAGCCTGGACAGCAGCACCTCCTACAACCCTTACCATGAACCTGGACCAGTAAGACGTTGTTGTCTCTGAACCAACTGTTTCAGATTCCAAATGTCCTTTTCCCAGCAGTCATGGCTTAGAATCCTGTCAAGTCAAGAACTTTTCAAATGTAATGTTCACTCGGAAGCTTTCTTTGATGTCCCGAGCTAGAAATCACATGTTACTTCCATGCCTATACCATCAAGTACACATCACAGTATTGCAGAGTGGGACCTGGTGTATAATAAACAATCAAATGTGAACCATTTTACCACTTGAAAACTTATCTTCCCAACCCATGATAAAGTTCTTGATGGCAAGAAACTCCAAGGAGGCCTCCAAAAAGGCACTGGGCCAAGGTCAAGATAGCTATAACTCATAGACGTTTGATATCCAAAACATTAGCCAACTTGCTATCTCACTCATCAGGAAATCAGCTAGCCCAAATGCTGTGATTGGTTCCAGCAAAAGGAAAATACAAATTACCTAATAACTCAATGAAAACAAATATAGGACCCGTTAAAATTCACAAATAAATTTTAAAATTTATTTGAAGATAAGTTTTTCATTGTAATTCAAAACTGCTCTTCCAGAAATAGTGCGAGATGATGACTGGCACGTGAAGAAGATGACACGATTTGTTGCTCTTACAGCCACTGCAGAGGAGACTTGGCTTGAAAGGAATTACGAAGCTAATGGTGTTGGTATAACTTCACAGCACATTATTCAAAAGATTTAAACTTTCAGAGACAACCACAAAGTAGATGCTTAATCAGAAATCTGAGGTCTTTGATATCACTGAACTTCATTTGAAAACCTTCCTTGGCATTCCACCTCTGTGTCTAGCTATGTCAAAATGAATATTTCACTATACCTTACTCAGGTGATTTAAAAACAGAATATATATATATATATATATATATATATATATATATATATATATATGATTCTTCCTTATCAAAGAAGATATTATGAGGCTCAGAGAGGGTAGTTTAGGTAAACACATTATGTAAATTAAATCTATCCTCATTTGCTTATTCATATAACAGATGTCTATATCTATGTCCAAACTTTGTGCCAACCTCTGTTTATGAATGTCAAATAAGACATGCTGTCTGCCCTTGGTAGTTTAGGAAGAGCTAAGAGGCAAAGAGGTGAACAAAGGAGTTGGCAGGCACTGACTGGAGGACTATGGAGCTGGAGGGGGAGAGGACTAAGTGCTGTCTATAGGAAGAGGGAGCCCTGTGTCTTTGCACCAGCTCCATGTTCACCCTCTGCAAATTCACCAATAATTACTCCTAATGCCTCTCTCACCCACCCTTTACTCTAGACATATATACACATGTATTTCCTTAGAGACCCACTGTCTTTTTAAATCTATAACTCTAAGGTCTAGAAGGTTCTTGAAATCCTCACTTTTTTTCTAACTTAGTTTTCTCTAAACCTGAGCTGAACTGATGTGAAGTTCCCGATCACCAATATTTTTCCTACTTAAGAAACCCTGGTGAATGATTTCATTACCCGCCCATCAGCTAAGCCAGGAACTGAGTCACTGTTGGCTCTTCTTCCTCTTCCAAAGCCAACTGATTACCAAGCCCTGCCAATTCTGTCAGCCACTGCTCTAGTCATTCTCCGCTCTTCGTTTTCCCTTTGCCTCACCTAAGGCCTTCGTCACCTTGTGTGCTATCACCATCATCCTCTGCCTCTGCCTCCAGCAGCGCTCCTCACAGTTCAGGCCCCAAACATGGCCGGCTTCGTCCTCCTCAGATGGACATCAGAGTGTGTGGTTTCCTTGCTCATAAGACTCCGAAGTCTCTGTACACTACAGATAAGGCTCACATTTCCGAATCTGGTATAAAAAATTTGCCAAGACTTGGTCTCTCCCTTCTTATTTGTCCTCTGGCATGCCATGAGAGACACACTACTGAAGTGCTAGGTTACACACTGAATAGATGGGAGAGTCCACAGAAGCGCACAGGACACTGGCAAGACTGAGCGACAAGGAGGAGAGAGAGACAGATGCTCGGTACAACACCCACCTGTGGTCGACACAACGTTCTCTGGACTTTCGCTGCAGAGCTTGGACAACAGACTGCTCTTCCCAGAGCCTGTGAGGCCTATGCAAACCAAATCATATTCTGGGCGCGCAGGGGGTGGTCCCTTGCAGCAAAGCGCTCGAAAACACTGCCAGAGAGAGAATATGGAGACAGACCTTAGTGATATTTCAAACAACTATACAAATAGGCAGGAGTAAGTAAGTACCGCACGAAATTTAAGCAGGGATACGGTATCTTCAGGTGGCGACACCGGGGTCATAGATAGCACTGTGGCAAAGCAATCAACTCTCCTGTCAGCAGCCGTGAGACCCTGCCAGCTATGGTAGGAGCACTGGGCACAGGGCTCTAACAGCATCCCCCTAGTGCCACCACTTGAACCTATCCATGAGGAAACTACGTAAAGTCAGCCTCAGATGCATCCTGTACCATACCTAGTGTGTTTTCTAAAACACCACTGTCTCAAAAGTCAGGGCCCGAGGAGTCGCTTCTGGGGAAAGGATCAGAAGACATAATATGAACTGCAGCGCATCTTAGATTAGATCCTGAGTTGGGAGGAAGAAAGTGCCATAAATGACATTATTGGGACAATAGTGAGGACTGAATATAGACTGCATATTAGATAACAGTGTTGCATAAGGTTAAATTTCCTGAATTAAATAACTGTGCTGTCATTATGTAAGGGAAAGTCGTTGTTCTGCGGAAGCACATGCTGAAGTACTTGGAGGTGAAGGGTCTTGAAATCTACAATTAACTGGCTCAGAAACAGTCTAAGGCTCTGACTCCCTCCACCCCCATCTGGTGGGGAGTGCGACAAAGCAAGTGTGGAAAAACACGAACCAGTGAAGCCCTACAACTCCGCTCTAGTCCTGGAACTTTTATTTGGGGCAGAGGCTGCTGAGCATTGAACTCAGGGCCTTGCATATGCCGAGTTAACGATGTGCCCCTGAGCTCTTGGTCTCACTGTTCTGATGTCGATCCAGAAGCTAAGGCACCTTACATCACTAAATAATCTGTTACAGCTTAGCCTTCCTTGGCCTTTGCCAAGCTTCACTGACCTCAGAGTACTACACACATACAGTTTCTGAGCCATGCAAACTCATTTGGTCTTCACAGGTAAAGACAAAGGGATCCAACTTACAAGCTATCATTCACTAAGTGTTTGATGTTTCAATTTACCTTATAGCCATTTATGATGCTGACTACGAACCAGCACTCCAGAGTCCAAGATATTCGCAATATTTGATATGAACATTAATTCATACAAGAAAGAGCCTAGAAATGGAAGTTGGGAAGGAAGAGGACTCAGCTCATTTGATTGTCTGAACCCATATAGGAAAAGACCTACTAACCTTGCGCTCATTCCTCTTAGTCAGTCCTACTTGGCTTTCACACTCAAGCCTGATTATTCCTCTCCTCATTTCTAACTTCTGAACAAGTCTAGACTATATGACCTCAGAAACAGCTCTCGATTCTGTTGGCTTCTCTCTCTCCGCTTAGGCTGTGGTCACTTGGATACCAACACCCTGCCACTGCTTTCAGGAATATTTATCTTTGCCCTCTGTTTTCCACAGCACCCGCTGGGTTTGATCATAAAAACAAAATCCATTCTATGTCCTTAATCTTCCTCAGCAACTTCCCCTGACCCATGGTCATAAACTCTTATCATGGTCTGTAAGGCATTCAGGCAAGGTCCAGCCAACGCTGCCAGCCTCATGTCTTCCACTGTTTCCAAGCCTTGCTGAGCATCTATCACTTGAGGCATTCCCCTGTGCTGTTCCCTCTTCCCTACTGCTGGCTTTGCCGAGTCCTCGCTCTTTGGTTTCAGCTTAACCAGCCTTTCCTCAGAGCAGCCGGCTCTGATCTGAGACTGCATTAGCAACCAATGTCAAACTCTCGCAGCATGTTTGCAAATTCATCATACAGACAATCACGGTTTCGTATTCACCACCAGACTGTGGGAACCACGTGTGTCCAATTTTGTCTCATATCCCCAGTGCCTGGCAGTGGACGGGGCAAAGAAGCTACCCTCAACAAATCGCTGTTGGGTGAAGAATGAATGACATTTAAGTTTCATCTAAAAAAGAGAAAAGAAAGCACAAAGGCTAGTAGGAGGCTTGATCTACGCTTGCTGGGCTGCCTATGTTTAAAAGAAACAGTGTCAAATAAGAGAAACCCTCGACTTTTACACTTAAATGCCAGAAGTAAGCCAAGTTCCCAAAGGACCAGTTTTGATGTGCAAGATCTATTTTCTCGGTACACTAGGGATTCTTTGTACCCCAAGTTCTCCCCCTCCCCGGTTTGTTTCAGAGGTTTTTGCTGACTTCTGATAAACAATTTTATGATCCATATTCTACACAGACTTATTAAACTCTAATCATATTTCCTCTCTTCTTTTCAAGTCCAAGAGTCCTAATTATTTTAGGCTGCCTTCCTATGGTTACCCCTCCTACCCCTTCATTTTAGATGCTCTTTGGCCTTACTTTCGTTCCATTATGTCTTTTCCTGCAAGATTAACGACCACAATAGTAAACAGCCCTCTATGTGCCAACACATCCCAATCTGAACTCACTGGAAGACTGGCTCTCACTGTCTGCCACTCCTCTCTGTCCACACAGAAGCAAGGCCCCGAGACTTCTGATGCATCTTTCCTAAGGACAGATCTCTGGGTGGGCATATATATTTCCTTGAAGGCAGCCACTGGCTAGCAGTTGTTTACATTAAGAGGGGTCTTCTATGTTCAGCTATGACAGACTGCTTTGGTCTTTGGGGGAACAAGAAAGGATTCCATTGCTGCTCTAGAAACAAGTCCCTGGCTCACTCAGCTCCTCTTCTGTATGTAGTCCCTCTGGACCAACCAACCCCTAGAGGACAGTGCCCAGTATTGAACCAAATTACCATAAATCTTCAAGACAAAATGAAATATATGAGGCCATAGGAATGGTTCAATGAGTCAAGGTGCTTGCCACCAAGGCTAATGGTCTCAGTTCATTCTCTGGAACCCATGTGATCTGAGAGAGCTGACTTCCACAAGTTATCATCTGACCTCTAGATGCATGCTGTGGCATGTATACACACCCTTGCAAATAAATAAATGCAATGTATAAAGCAAACTACGACCAACTGTTACATGACCTTGTTTAAATTATTCAAATCAATTTCACTCTACATATTTTGTCCCAAAGTTATACAATTTCATCTTCACGCTCTCGTTAAAATCCAGAATACAGCAACTTTATACCCAAACCCACCAATATCTATATCACCCTTTAATTGATGTCAGAAAACCTCAGACACTCTGACAAAAAAGACCATGCTATTCTGCTTCTCTTTTCTCTTGTATTTTTCCAAGTGGTGTCAGCTCCGCTCCCATGGCTCTATTCACACAGCCTACAATGTTATCCAACATGGCAATGCCCTGGGCACACCCTCACCCCTGCCCCAAATCCCCAGTTCTGTAGTCCCAAGTAGTCTGATGGAACCCACACTAATTCTGAATGAAAGAAAAGCTTCACCCTCCCGACACTCAGCCTAGGGAAACAGCATTTTAGTGAGGAAAGCCTAGACTAGCAGTTCTTACAAGAAATGTTTAAAACAAATCCCAGAATCCGAGGAATACATATGTATTGAAAATAAATGCCATGGTTAACAGAGAAAGTGTTATCTTTTGAGCCAACAAAATAGAACTTTTACGCGTGTGCCATTTCGAATCTGGAAGGAATGTTCATGCTTTTTGAGTCAGCCCCCAAACTGTTCGGGGTTTTCATTTGTTTCTTGTTTTAAAACCTAATGAAGCTTTGGATCTTATAGTCAATTTACTTAAAATTACTCACTTTGGCCTCTAGACTATACTGTACCAAAGTTCATTGTGTTTGTCTCCTACAGCAGCTCCCGCATTGTTAAGGGTAAGCCCCTTTCACTGCCGTACAATGCGAGAAACAATGCTGTCGGCAGTCCTGACAGCGAGCGGCAAACTCGGGCTTCATTCCCAGGCCAGACACTGAGGCATTGTGTGACTCTGCTCAAGCCCCATAAACCTATCCATGCTTCAGCTTCCCCATGATTAACCAGTAACATTTAACACTATCTGCCACTTCCTTTCTTCAGGAGGATGTTAGGAGGCATGAGTTCAATGCTTTAAGCTCCTAAGAAAGGCGCCAGACGGACAAATAGCTGTTCATAGTGATGCTCATTTTCCTAAGGTATCCTGGCTGCTGCTTAGCTGCCTTGGCGAGAGTCAGGCAGCCTGACACACAGCCCAGCCTGGAGCCCCTTCTATAAGCTCAGAGCAGCCGCCTCATATTCTCAACCCCACCCTAGTTCAACCCAAGTTCTGCACACAAAATCCAAGGCCCTATGAAGCAGGAAACAAAGAACAGAGCAGTCTGAATCGTAATCGCACTCTCGGGGGGGCTTACCACCATCACCGTCTCCCTAGCCTAGGCTACTCTAGCCTTTTTTCATAGGCTCAGTTAGTCCTTGTTCCTTTTTGAAAGGAGGAAGGAGACCATGTGCATCAAGAATAAATTAATCAAGAACAAATAAAATTGTAGAGGGGAAATCAGGACTTGGATTATAGTCTGGTAGCCAGCCCTACAGCAAGATACTGTGGGTCTTACCGTTTTGTCCATTTCTGTTGGGGAACAGTGTTAGACATTTGGCAGACGGGGCAGTGCAGTGAAGACTTGTTGAATATCTGCATAACAAATCAGCACCAGAAAGTAGTAAGGCGGCACTTAGCTATGTATTTCATCTGCACCTGAAGACTCTGGCTATCCTCCAAATCACACACGAGTCCCTCAAACAGTGTGCACACTTGTTACTACTAGGCTCTCGGCCTCCAGAAGGAAGCCGCCCTTCTCTGTCTACTTGATAAGCCCCTATTCAACGTACTGCTCAGAGGGAAGTCTTCAACCTCCTCCCCCATTCCTTGGTGCTATGTGCACTACCGGTACTACAGGTAACATTGCCACATGCAGTGTTTTCTATGAAATTTACTAACTGACAAAAATATTCACTCAGACCCAAGGACATATTTATTTTTGGTCTCATTACTAGTTGTAAAAGAGTCTGGTTTTGCAGGTTCTGAGAGTGGCCAGGCATCAAAACAGCAAGAGAATTGCCCTGCTA